GTCTGATCATATCTCGGGTTACAAAATAAAAGTATTATCATATCTAGGTCGCGGGTTACAAAATATAGGTCTTATCATATCTAGGTCGCGGGTTACAATGTGCAGGTTTTATCAAATCTAGGTCGCGGGTTACAATGTGCAGGTCTTATCATATCTAGGTCGCGGGTTACAATGTGCAGGTTTTATCAAATCTAGGTCGCGGGTTACAAAATACAGGTCTTATCATATCTAGGTCGCGGGTTACAATGTGCAGGTTTGATCAAATCTAGGTCACTGGTTACAAGCTATAGGTCTTATCAAATCTAGGTCGCGGGTTACAAAATACAGGTCTTATCATATCTAGGTCGCGGGTTACAATGTGCAGGTTTTATCAAATCTAGGTCGCGGGTTACAATGTGCAGGTCTTATCAAATCTAGGTCGCGGGTTACAAAATACAGGTCTTGTCATATCTAGGTCTCGGGTTACAAAATAAAAGTATTATCATATCTAGGTCGCGGGTTACAAAATACAGGTCTTATCATATCTAGGTCGCGGGTTACAAAATACAGGTCTTTTCATATCTAGGTCGCGGGTTACAAAATATAGGTCTTATCATATCTAGGTCGCGGGTTACAAAATACAGGTCTTTTCATATCTAGGTCACGGGTCACAAATTATAGGACTTTTCATGTCTACGTCGCTGCTTAAACTACATAGGATTATACTTACTGACGCTTAAATTTCTCAGAGTAACAAACATTATAATTTGTTTTATTTTCATAGTTATTTTTGATAACTTTTTGTCCAACATATGAACGTGTGTACCCATAAAGGTTGGCGTATTATGTTCTGTGCCGGTTTTCGTCGGTGTCGTGTCATTGGCGTGAGGCATGATATGTTCTGTACCGGTTTTCGTTGGTGTCGTGTCATTGGCGTGAGGCATGATATGTTCTGTACCGGTTTTGGTCGGTGTCGTGTCATTGGCGTGAGGCATGATATGTTCTGTACCGGTTTTGGTCGGTGTCGTGTCATTGGCGTGAGGCATGATATGTTCTGTACCGGTTTTGGTCGGTGTCGTGTCATTGGCGTGAGGCATGATATGTTCTGTACCGGTTTTGGTTGGTGTCGCGTCATTGGCGTGAGGCATGATATGTTCTCTACCGGTTTTCGTTGGTGTCGCGTCATTGGCGTGAGGTATGATATGTTCTGTACCGGTTTTCGTTGGTGTCGCGTCGTTGGCGTGAGGCATGATATGTTCTGTATCGGTTTTCGTTGGTGTCATGTCATTGGCGTGAGGCATGATATGTTCTGTGCCGGTTTTCGTTGGTGTCGCGTCATTGGCGTGAGGCGTGATATGTTCTGTACGGGTTTTCGTTGGTGTCGTGTCATATGGTGCATTTGTTGCCCGTTAATTACAATATTCAATTAACGTGATCGCTCTACACACCCTGTTTTATAAGAATGTAGATTTAGCTGTATTATTTGATTCAATATCCCTTTGCGGTGATACGTCAGAAAGACAAGTGAATGTGACATCATTTTTATTATGACGTCACTTGTCGGTAAATATCGCTCACATGTAGCTGAGAATTGAGATCTAGCAAGACCAAAAACTGTCGCTCTGGGTAAGGAGATCTCCATTTATCGCGTACGACAAAAAGGCACACCTGTTTGTATTAAACAGACAAACAAAATTGCTTAACAATTATTGCGCTGACGTAATTCGTTTTTCAAGGAGCTTTTGATAAAACTGACATGGACTTTCTGCTTATCATATGTTTTATGGAAACCCGATACATCCTCATCGTAAGTCAACAATTAAGATAGAGATGATTGGCAACGACGTTAAAATACACTTTGTCTGCTCACAAAGTACGTTTTAATCACAGTAACAAAATGTGCTGGAGACAGTTTATGGTTAGAAATATGCTATAAAAACTACATTACTGTTTTGTCTGGTATATTGAAAGACTGGAACATGTTACTAATTTTCTGGACGGACGGATACCCATTATCCGGACCGGATTTCATGGTCTTGACGAAGGACCTTTAATTAGTCTGGGTTTACCTTTGTTATTTGGTCAACCACTGAGTAGAATTAATATGTCTGTTTATTTGTATTTTACGATTGTACAGCTGAGAGTTACATCACTGTTAAGTAACTGACTGTAAAAAAACATACATCGAGGTCGCCATTACAGAAAGCTAACAAAGACAGTACTGAGAGAGAAAGATATTTTTACGCCAAAAGGAGATTCTCACTTAAATCCAAACAAAATGTAGGTAAGTCTTAAAATGTCAACTTTGTGGAGTGAACCTTTTTGTAATGTAGACGAAAATGATTATTTTTGTCTGGGGACCATTTTACAAATCATTCGAAATGTTATGTTTCACGCGGTACATTTTGTGTCACTTTAAGATCCTTGTAAATACAGACTACCATGGCAATGAATGTCTCACAGAAATCCCAAAATACATTACATATTACAGCCGAGATAAATAAAAATATCTAAAATAATGTGGCGGACAACTGATGAAGCTTTGAAGCATTACATTGCTTCTTCCCTAGCATTGCGGCACGTGACTCACGCTTGACGGAGTAATGATGAAAATCCTGGTGATTTAATATTTGTTTGATGTAAAGTGAAATGAATAACATCGAGAAAATACTAACATATCAAAACGATCATAATCAAAAATCAAATTCAACAATACTGGAACAAAGTATAAACAAAAGAAAAAATTACACGGAGACTCCTGAAAAGTAACATGGAGGTCAAGACCAGGTGTTCCGGAAGAGTAAGCGTCTTCTGCTTCGCCGACGACACCCGCCATGTAAACTTTGATCAATCCAAGTAAGTAATGTCACGTTCTCAAATGAAAACAAGATTTAAATCAACAACGTAACCAACAGGCAGACTAACGAACATCAAACACGTCCTGCTTCATATTGCACAAATAGAATATTTCATATATATATTTCTATATCACTATGACAACTGTTATAAAGATCAACCTGCATCTTTTGAAACAATGAGTTACGAGTTTGTCCTTCAGTTGACGACTTCTTGCACAAAAATCGTGATAATGGGAACAAGCCCTTGAATATCGAATCAGCTACGACATGCAAACACCATCGGTTGGGGATGCAGAGATATTGCTATTCAGAAGTCGAAAATTCACAATAGAGAAACTTTAATTATCACGTTCATCATACAACTTGCTGGAAAGCTGTCCATGTTGGTTTCGTTGTAGGAAAAGATAGAGATAAGCAGCTGATGTAGAAGAGTCTGTCGTGTCTTTGATTTCCAATACTGGTGGGTATAAAATGGATGTTGTCAAATTTTTCTGGTTATTTAAAGACAAGACGTCAGCAATATATCAGAAAGTGATTTTAAACGACCTAGCAATGTCTTTGTGACCTGTTTTAATAAGAACTATCATAAATTCCACCTCGTATGTAAAAAAACAAGCCGGCCAACAGAAGGGTGCAGTTAGATCCCATGCCAATAGTCTGTTGGAAGATCTTGCCACCAAACTTTACGAAGATGTTGTTAACCAGAAATTCTAATAAAACTGTTATTGACTACGGTCTGTAGTTGTCAGATAGCTCTGTGCTACTGCGGAACCGATATAGATAATGGGCGTGGCTTTTAACGGTGTACTAATATGATAAGTGGTGACTCTCGAAGAATTATTATTAATAATCAGGCATCCGGAGGAAATTAGTATCGATACAGATTTATTACAAAACACGCGAGAACATCGGAGTGTAAAGTACACACTACAGAAATAAAGATTAATATATAAGTGAAACATCGATTAAATTAATAGAGATATTTCCTTAAGTTGTCGAGATATATATCATTTGGTAGCAAACATTTACAAAGTGTCTTAATATCACGTCTAGTGACGTCATAGACACATGACCTGTACTATCGCTGCACGTGACAACCCGCGCTCAAACCTCCACTCCGACACATAACGACTTGTTGATCTAGTTAGGATGAAATACCGATGAACTTGCATCAATTGTATAATGACGTAACAAATTAAACCTGCACCATGTAGTTGGGACTTGTTGATCGGTCGTGTAGTTAATGTAGTTGTGGTGCAGATTTCAACATTTTTTTGAAGTTCAGAAGTTTAACGACATCCTTTCTGAATTTTTTCCCATGACCTCGGTTTAAACATATAAATGTTTGAACAGTCGTTTCGTTAATAGCTCTCTTTCATGTCGCTTAACGAAGTCATATATCAATAAGGGAAGGATAGATTTCCGTGTTGTTATTTCCATCTGCTGAAAAGAATTGGTTCTTTTTGAAACTCCGACGAGTTTAGTGGTAAAACCTTCATTAGAGAAATAGCGGTGATAGAACCTATCACGAAGATAAATGGGTCAGACACATGGTTGACACATCAAAATGGATGTGTCAATATCCATACCTAACACCTCAGTATCCGTACCTAACACCTCAGTATCCATACCTAACACCTCAGTATCCATACCTAACACCTCAGTATCCATACCTAACACCTCAGTATCCATACCTAACACCTCAGTATCCATACCTAACACCTCAGTATCCATACCTAACACCTCGGTATCCGTACTTAACACCTCAGTATCCGTACCTAACACCTCAGTATCCATACCCAACACCTCAGTATCCATACCTGACACCTCAGTATCCATACCTAACAGTTCAGTATCCGTACCTAACACCTCAGTATCCATACCCAACACCCCAGTATCCACACCTAACACCTCAGTGTCCATACCTAACACCTTAGTGTCCCTACTTAACACCTCACTGTCCCTACCTAACACCTCAGTGTCCATACCTAACACCTCAGTGTCCATACCTAACACCTAATTATCCATACCAAACACCTCAGTATCCATACCTAACACCTCAGTATCCATACCTAACACCTCAGTATCCATACCAAACACCTAAGTATCCATACCAAACACCTCGCTATCTATACCAAACACCTCAGTATCCATACCAAACACCTAAGTATCCATACCAAACACCTCACTATCTATACCAAACACCTCAGTATCCATACCAAACACCTCAGTATCCATACCCAACACCTCAGTATCCATACCAAACACCTCTGTATCCATACCTAACACCTCAGTATCCGTACCTGACACCTCAGTATCCGTACCAAACACCTCAGTATCCATACCTAACACCTCAGTATCCATACCTAACACCTCGGTATCCGTACCTGACACCTCAGTATCCATACCTGACACCTCAGTATCCATACCTAACACCTCAGTATCCATACCTAACACCTCAGTATCCGTACCTGACACCTCAGTATCCGTACCAAACACCTCAGTATCCATACCTAACACCTCGGTATCCGTACTTAACACCTCAGTATCCGTACCTAACACCTCAGTATCCATACCCAACACCTCAGTATCCATACCTGACACCTCAGTATCCATACCTAACAGTTCAGTATCCGTACCTAACACCTCAGTATCCATACCCAACACCTCAGTATCCATACCTAACACCTCAGTACACACCTCAGTATTCATACCCAACACCTCAGTATCCATACCTAACACCTCAGTATCCATACCTGACACCTCAGTATCCTTACCTAACACCTCAGTATCCATACCAAACACCTCAGTATCCATACCTAACACCTCAGTATCCATACCAAACACCTCAGTATCCATACCAAACACCTCAGTATCCATACCCAACACCTCAGTATCCATACCTAACACCTCAGTATCCATACCTAACACCTCAGTATCCATACCTAACACCTCAGTATCCATACCTAACACCTCAGTATCCATACCTAACACCTCAGTATCCATACCCAACACCTCAGTATCCATACCTAACACCTCAGTATCCATACCTAACACCTCAGTATCCATACCTAACACCTCAGTATCCATACCCAACACCTCAGTATCCATACCTAACACCTCAGTATCCATACCTGACACCTCAGTATCCTTACCTAACACCTCAGTATCCATACCAAACACCTCAGTATCCATACCTAACACCTCAGTATCCATACCTAACACCTCAGTATCCATACCCAACACCTCAGTATCCATACCTAACACCTCAGTATCCATACCTAACACCTCAGTATCCATACCTAACACCTCAGTATCCATACCTAACACCTCAGTATGCATACCCAACACCTCAGTATCCAAACCTAACACCTCAGAATCCATACTTAATACTTCAGTATCCATACCTAACACCTCACTGTCCCTACCTAACACCTAATTATCCATACCAAACACCTCACTATCTATACCAAACACCTCAGTATCCATACCAAACACCTCACTATCTATACCAAACACCTAAGTATCCATACCAAACACCTCACTATCTATACCAAACACCTCAGTATCCAAACCTAACACCTCAGTATCCATACCTAACACCTCAGTATCCATACCTAACACCTCAGTATCCATACCTAACACCTCGGTATCCATACCTAACACCTCAGTATCCATACCTAACACCTCAGTATCCATACCTAACACCTCAGTATCCGTACCTAACACCTCAGTATCCATACCTAACAATTCAAGGGCATTAACAGCATATATCATTATACAGGTATGGTCATTTTGCAGTTTAGAAATACCTACATGTCACAAGCAAAAGGTTACTTCGTTATCGTCACCAGCTATATAATTGCTGTTTTTTGTCGCCTCTCTTAATACGTAAATATACAAGCTCTGTTTTTCATTAAAGAAACTTGTTGCTGATAATACTAAGGATTTGTGGGTCGTGTGAATCATTAACTAGTCCTTTCAAATTTTTTCTGGAATATAATTGGGGAGAAATCATTCGACTGCGATAAAACTCCGATAACCGGAAGAAAGTTGAAACGGAAGTGAAGCGAATACAAGATGGGGAAAAACGTGGAATATTTCTGAATTTCAAACAAAAGATTGAATTACTCACACCTGTACAAAAACGCTGGAGGCAGACTTGATTATTTACAAAGGATAAGGACCTGTTTTCCATTCCGTATCCGAAGTACAGTTTGCTTTCTGTGTAAACCATTTCAACCATGTCACCATTCAGTTTCAGGGTCACTATGTACGTCATAACAAGGCTATGGTATACTGTATCTATTATTCGGTGTGTCACAAGTCTGCTTAAAATTTCATTTGTAAAAACACGAAAATCCGTGTCTGGCTGTAGTGTACTCCAAAGGCCAAACCAAACAAAATAAATGATTATCGTTCATCCTGAGACAACATCTGCTTATGAACAACGAAATTATTACAAAAAAAACCAAAAACATGGCAATTTTGATGTAGTAAAAATTACTTCGTCCTAATTGGAATTAGATGACCTGGTTAAATGTACATAATAAGCAGAGTATTGGTTACTCATTTACAGTGCCCTTTAATAGAGGGCTCAGGAGGGGGGAGTCATTACCTAGACAATAACGATAAACCCACAGTATTGTAAATTGAATCTTGAACATTCATCGTTCAAACCGTGCGAATCCTTGTATTTAAATTCCTTCCTTGCCAGTGTTCTCTGCAGGAAAGCACGAGGAAAGAGACACTCGATATACTACTGAAGCCAGTGAAACAATAGCTTCTGTACATCAGACAAAATACGGCTTGATTTCACCCAATACAGGGCAAGCTTTCAACCATGTCAGAATGCCATGTCCCTGATTTCACCCAATACAGGGCAAGCTTTCAACCATGTCAGAATGCCATATCCCTGATTTCACCCAATACAGGGCAAGCTTTCAACCATGTCGGAATGCCATGTCCCTGATTTCACCCAATACAGGGCAAGCTTTCAACCATGTCAGAATGCCATATCCCTGATTTCACCCAATACAGGGCATGCTTTCAACCATGTCAGAATGTCATGTCCCTGATTTCACCCAATACAGGGCAAGCTTTCAACCATGTCAGAATGGCATGTCCCTTGAACTTGCTTCCCAAGATTCTTTGAATTTCAATTTTCCCGCACTTTCTCCGACTTACTTAGTAATTCCGTGTAACCCAGTGACTCTTCATCCGTGTTACATATTGACTTACGTGTAACCTGGTGACTTTTCTTCCGTGTAACATAGTGACTGCCGTGTAGCCTGGTGACTCTTCATCCGTGTTACATATTGACTTACGTGTAACCTGGTGACTTTTCTTCCGTGTAACATAGTGACTGCCGTGTAGCCTGGTGACTCTTCATCCGTGTTACATATTGACTTACGTGTAACCTGGTGACTTTTCTTCCGTGTAACATAGTGACTGCCGTGTAGCCTGGTGACTCTTCATCCGTGTTACATATTGACTTACGTGTAACCTGGTGACTTTTCTTCCGTGTAACATAGTGACTGCCGTGTAGCCTGGTGACTCTTCATCCTTGTTACATATTGACCTACGTGTAACCTGGTGACTCTTCTTGTGTGTAACATAGTGACTTCCGTGTAACCTGGTGACCCTTCTTGTGTGTAACAAAGTGACTTCCGTGTAACCTGGCGACTCTTCTTGCGTGTAACATAGTGATTTCCGTGTAACATATTGACTTCCGTGTAACCTGGCGACTCTTCTTGCGTTTAACATGGTGACTCAGATGTAACCTTGTATATTCCATGGCGGCAGTGCATATTGCAAACAGGCCGAGAAATCCGAAGTTCTACGAAGGTCACAGCAATGTGAGATATGTGGGCCACTAATGATTGTTGTTTTTGCTGTTAATTGCACGTGAAAAGTAACAACAAATCGATGTCAAAATACCTAAAGCAATATTTATTTCTTTCCTCGTGATTTACGGCATGTTTAAAGTGTATCTTGACGAAGTCTCTACAAACGCGAACTATTTCCGTCCGCGGTTATGTCCATTACCGTATGTGACGTACAAGTTTCCTCGAGTAATAGGCCGTCTCATGCCATCTTGTGTTTATTTTTAAGTGTTTAAGTGCTTCAGTTGCCTTGTAACGTTTTTGATTGAACAGGATTAGAAGTTAAACTCTCAATACAAGCCTTGCGTACATTAACGGAAGTAGCATCTGTATATGTACAGCTAAACCGCTTTACTTAGCCGGAACAAACACATCCAGATATTGATACTACTAAAACCATACTGTTAGATATAGACTAGTTTATACCATACAACCTCGAGATAACCACACACCGAAAAAAGGAAGTAACAACTCAATACTTCGAGATAAAGACGGAGTTATAGAACAATACACCGAGATAAAGTCACAACACTCTGAATACACCCAGATAAAGTCACAACACTCTGAATACACCCAGGTAAATTCACAACACTCTGAATACACCCAGATAAATTCACAACACTCTGAATACACCGAGATAAAGTCACAACACTCTGACGACTGAATACACCCAGATAAATTCACAACACTGAATACACCCAGATAAATTCACAACACTCTGATTACACCCAGATAAAGTCACAACACTCTGAATACACCCAGATAAAGTCACAACACTCTGAATACACCCAGATAAAGTCACAACACTCTGAATACACCCAGATAAAGTCACAACACTCTGAATACACCCAGATAAAGTCACAACACTCTGAATACACCCAGATAAAGTCACAACACTCTGAATACACCCAGATAAAGTCACAACACTCTGAATACACCCAGATAAAGTCACAACACTCTGAATACACCCAGATAAAATCACAACACTCTGAATACACCCAGATAAAGTCACAACACTCTGACGACTGAATACACCCAGATAAAGTCACAACACTCTGAATACACCCAGATAAAGTCACAACACTCTGAATACACCCAGATAAAGTCACAACACTCTGACGACTGAATACACCCAGATAAAATCACAACACTCTGAATACACCCAGATAAAATCACAACACTCTGAATACATCTAGATAAATTCACAACACTCTGAATACACCTAGATAAAGTCACAACACTCTGACGACTTAATACACCCAGATAAAGTCACAACACTCTGAATACACCCAGATAAAGTCACAACACTCTGAATACACCCAGATAAAGTCACAACACTCTGAATACACCCAGATAAAATCACAACACTCTGATTACATCAAGATAAAGTCACAACACTCTGAATACACCCGGATAACGTCACAACACTCTGATTACACCCAGATAAAGTCACAACACTCTGAATACACTCTGGTTAAGTCACAACACTCTGATTACATCCAGATAAAGTCACAACACTCTGATTACATCCAGATAAAGTCACAACACTCTGAATACACCCAGATAAAGTCACAACACTCTGACGACTGAATACACCCAGATAAAGTCACAACACTCTGAATACACCCAGATAAAGTCACAACACTCTGAATACACCCAGATAAAGTCACAACACTCTGAATACACCCAGATAAAGTCACAACACTCTGAATACACCCAGATAAAGTCACAACACTCTGAATACACCCAGATAAAGTCACAACACTCTGAATACACCTAGTACACCCAGATAAAATCACAACACTCTGACGCCTGAATACACCCAGATAAAGTCACAACACTCTGAATACACCCAGATAAAGTCACAACACTCTGACGACTGAATACACCCAGATAAAGTGACAACACTCTGACGATTCTCGACATTATCACTCCGTTGTTGTGTTTTTTTTTTTTTTTTTGATGTCATCAAAATGCAATCACAGTTCCGTTTGATGTTATTACACTTGTGGTGATAGCTAAAACTTAAAAACTAAAAAAAAAACTTATCAATATTGCAAAGTGATGATTTCTTACGTGTTTTTCATCACTTCACCGATGATGTAGTTCTAATCAACTATGACTACTGTTATCAGTGTGATGGTTAGAAATCTTAGGTAGCAGTACACAGTTTCTCGGTGTGACTATGGATGATATTTTTGTTCATTAGATTACCCCATTATAAAGGTTTTAATTAAAATTAAAAAAAAAAACATTTTTTTTTTTTGCTAAAATTGGTCTTGTCATGTTAAAGTGGACAATGTGGGGTTTCATTTTTTTTTTCAGAATAATATTTAGCTTTGTGCTGGAGATTACTATTTTGGCAGACTCGAATTTGTGTCCAAAACGCACCAAAACCCAGCTTTACAGGAAGTGAAATTTTCATACTGTTTACATGTGGTCAGGTTATGAAGGATTTCCGAGTTGGAATTTGCTTTGTTACTATGACAGTGTTGTTGATTTTAAGATAGGTGTTTAGAAATAAATTTCTTCTGGAAAGTGGTAGTGTTAGGTTGGAATTAGCAGTATTTTTTGCATTTTTAGCATTTTTTCAGTAGGTAACCATGGCAATCACATGTCAGAAATCAGATGAAATTTTTGATTTACACGAATTTTATCTCTCTACTGTTAATGTAATTGTTATGTAGTTTATCAATATACATACATGTCATGATGTTTTTATAACCAATCTGCTGTACCTGTATATCTCAAACATGGCCAATAATTTCAGGAAAAATGCAAATTAACTGTTTCCTGCTACTTTGATATGAACATACATCTCTTATCACTCCGTGAGTCCTTGATATCAGCCAGCGGAAAGAATACCTGAAGGCTTATGTCAGGACTCCTGGGCTGAGTAGAGGTGTGACATCAAAATGGTCATATAATAGGTTTTTTAATGTTTTTTTTTTTTCTTTTAGCTCATCCAACTAAACAGTTCTTCTGAAATTGCCTCGCCATCATTAGTCCTACTGGCCATGCTTAGCTGTTAACGTTCGCAGACGACAGCTGCAGGTGTATCAGTAATAAAGGAAACCAATCCGGAAACGGCACAATCCGGCACAAATTTTAGTTGGATTCTTAATTAATTTTCGTAAGAAAAAACAACCGCATTTCTTCCATGTCAGCAATATTTACCTTCAAATCACACGGGGATAAACGAAAGCGGCAAAGTATGAGAGGAGGTGTGATATCACTTTCCGGGGGTTGTCGTGTTATTTTCAAGGGGGTGTGATATCATTTCAGGGGTGTATGATATTACTAAGACTGATATCAATATGCGAAAACATCTGACTTATACACTCAAAGACGGTGATATTAGAAGCAAACATATGATAACATGTGATGTAGGTTTCCTAATCACGTGACTACTGTTATCAGTGTGATAACATGTGATATCGGTTCCCTAATCACGTGACTACTATTATCAGTGTGATAACATGTGATATCGGTAGATCAATGAAACAACAGACATCGCAGAGAAGCATCGACAAGAAATCTTGACGGGAAAATTCCTCCGATGTTGTCAGTCCGATTCTTTCAAATGGAGATTAAGGTTTATATATCTTACTCTATAGAATTATCCAGTAAAGGTTGGAGACAATACCTTGTGATATGATTTGGTTTAGCTGTGATATCATTATCAACTTAAGTTAGTCCCTGGATTGAGAATGTCACTTACTGTAACGGTTATCGTCTTTCAAGACAAACGCACTTGAAGCGAAGAAAAGGTGAATTGAAATATATCACACAGATAACCATCATCGTATTCTCTCCACTTCATGTTTTAGGTGACACGTTTTAACATGTTATAATTAAATTTCTCCGATGGCGATGTCGAACATCTGCCTCAACCGAAAGAAATATTGCCGCCATATTTAGGCTGGCGTCAAATTGCATTTGTAAATCTATATCGGGGATTGGATGGCGGAAATTATCCAATGAAAAAACACGTTACATAACCATTATTTTAGAATTGTTGATATACAATAGAGGTATAATAGCATGCTGTAAATAAGTATTTTTAACAGTGAAAGCACATCGCACATTATAGAAGAAACTTTTTTAAAGAAATTCATCTAAGTTAGCAAATTTAACGTTATGTTTTCATAGTCTATGATGTCGATCATCTGAGCCTGTTTTTTAGTGGATAGTTGTGGGTAGTTGTCCGGAGTGGATACTTGTGGGTAGTTGTCCGGAGTGGGTAGTTGTCCGGAGTTGTGGGTAGTTGTCCGGAGTGGGTAGTTGTGGGTAGTTGTCCGGAGTGGGTAGTTGTGTGTAGTTGTCCGGAGTGGGTAGTTGTGGGTAGTTGTCCGGAGTGGGTAGTTGTGGGTAGTTGTCCGGAGTGGGTAGTTGTGGGTAGTTGTCCGGAGTGGGTAGTTGTGGGTAATTGTCCGGAGTGTGTAGTTGTGGGTAGTTGTCCGGAGTGGGTAGTTGTGGGTAGTTGTCCGGAGTGGGTAGTTGTGGGTAGTTGTCCGGAGTGGGTAGTTGTGTGTAGTTGTCCGGAGTGGATACTTGTGGGTAGTTGTCCGGCGTGGATAGTTGTGGGTAGTTGTCCGGAGTGGGTAGTTGTGTGTAGTTGTCCGGAGTGGGTAGTTGTGGGTAGTTGTCCGGAGTGGGTAGTTGTGGGTAGTTGTCCGGAGTGGGCAGTTGTCCGGAGTAGGTAGTAGTGGGCAGTTGTCCGGAGTGGGTAGTTGTGGGTAGTTGTCCGGAGTGTGTAGTTGTGGGTAGTTGTCCGGAGTGGGTAGTAGTGGGTAGTTGTCCGGAGTGGGCAGTTGTCCGGAGTGGGTAGTAGTGTGTAGTTTTCCGGAGTGGGTAGTAGTGGGTAGTTGTCCGGAGTGGGTAGTTGTTCGTAGTTGTCATGAGTGAGTAGATGTGGGTAGTTGTCCAGAGTGGGTAGTAGTGTGTAGTTGTCCGGAGTTGAAAGTTGTTGGTAGTTGTCCGGAGTGGGTAGCTGTAGGTAGTTGTCCGGAGTGGAAAGTTGTGTGTAGTTGTCCGGAGTGGGTAGTAGTGGGTAGTTGTCCGGAGTGGGTAGTAGTGTGTAGTTGTCCGGAGTGGGTAGTAGTGGTTAGTTGTCCGGAGTAGGTAGTTGTCCACAGTGTGTAGTTGTGGGTAGTTGTCAGGAGTGAGAAGATGTGGGAAGTTATCCGGAGTGAATAGTAGTGTGTAGTTGTCCGGAGTGGGTAGTAGTGGGTAGTTGTCTGGACTGGGTAGTTGTCCGGAGTGGGTAGTAGTAGGTAGTTATCTGGAGTGGTTAGTAGTGGGTAGTTGTCCGGAGTGGGCAATTGTCCGGAGTAGTTAGTAGTGCGCAGTTGTCCGGAGTGGGTAGTTGTGTGTAGTTGTCCGGAGTGGATAGTTGTGGGTAGTTGTCAGGAGTGGGTAGTTGTGGGTTGTTGTCTTTAGTGGGTAGTTTTGTGTAGTTGTCAGGAGTGGGTAGTTGTCAGGAGGGGGTAGTTGTGGGTAGTTGTTCGGAGTGGGTAGTTGTGAGTAGTTTTCCGGAGTGGGTAGTTGTGGGTTGTTGTCCGGAGTGGGTAGTTGTGAGTAGTTGTCCGGAGTGGGTAGTTGTGGGTAGTTGTCAGGAGTGGGTAGTTGTGGGTAGTTGTCCAGTGTGGGTAGTTGTCCGGTGTGGGTAGTAGTGGGTAGTTGTCCGGTGTTGGTAGTTGTGGGTAGTTGTCCGGTGTGGGTAGTTGTGGGTAGTTGTCCGGTGTGGGCAGTTGTGGGTAGTTGTCCGGTGTGGGTAGTTGTCCGGTGTTGGTAGTTGTCCGGTGTGGGTAGTTGTCCGGTGTGGGTAGTTGTCCGGTGTGGGTAGTTGTGGGTAGTTTTCCGGTGTGGGTAGTTGTCCGGTGTTGGTAGTTGTGGGTAGTTGTCCGGTGTGGGTAGTTGTCCGGTGTTGGTAGTTGTGGGTAGTTGTCCGGTGTGGGCAGTTGTGGGTAGTTGTCCGGTGTGGGTAGTTGGTAGTTGTTTCATAGGTAGCAGCATTCGAAGTAAATAATGTGGCAACCAATCTCACTGAAATCTTGCAGAAATCTCTCAGAAAATTATATGTGTGTCTATCGACTGTATTACTACACGAGCTTAACAGTTCTAAACTGATTAAGTCAGATTTTTTTACACAAATATCTACTCGACTTGGCTGGGAATACTAGTATTTGGTAATTTTGAAAAAAATTATATTAGACGAAGATGTTTTTTTCTTAAAAGGAAAGTACGTTTTAGTTCCAGCCTCACTATTTAACAATTTTTTGTTTTCAAAAGCAATCATGTTATATACAAAAGGATATGTAGCATTTAAAATATTGGAAAGATCACTAGTTTAAATATAATTTAATATATGTATAGATATTCATTCTGTTTTGTTCTGTGTCTACATGAAGGTTAGAATACAAATACGTAAAACTTGAATTCTTTTTAACTCAATAAAATTCCTATCATTTCATATGATATTGGCTTCCTACAAAGCTAAAAATACAGGTAACAACAGGTAAAACCCAGGTAAATAAACAAAGGTAAATTCATCTGAAATAGACTATAATTCAAAGTGTGGGAAATCGGGGTACAATCACTGATATACGGGATGGATGGCTAAATGATATAGACAGTATAAAAAGACAGGATGAAAAGAAATGAGTACAAATAACACCAAAATTAGGAATAAGATACAACAGTTTGGTATAAATATTTGAGTCTGAAGCCTCTCGTCAATGGTCTTGCTCGCTTCGTCGTCTTATGTGTTGGTGAAAAGTGGTATTGCGTCATATGAATAGAAAATGACGTCAATCAAATATGAGCTTTTTTTTTTTGTTTTTGTTTTTTTTTTTTTTTTTAGTTTTTCACATTATGTTCTGTTTTTCCCCACAAGTGGTTCCAGAACATCTGCTAGCCATCCTGATAAACTTAATCCAATGAACCCCATTTAGTCCATACTTGGTTGTAATATATTGCTTGGCTTGTGAATCTCTGACATGTAGAACATGTGAGGGATGCTCCCTGGTGTAGGTTTAACCTGGATATATCTTGTTCCTTACTGATACTTCTGTATCTCAAAATTTGGTGATTACCTTTTTTTCTCATAGTTTTGTTTATACCTAACGATTTCTCGGTCCTTATCTGCTGATAAAATTATTACTGGTATGTACTTTCCTTCTTGTGAGTCTTAAAAACTTTCCGTTCTCTCTTCTGCTAGTTGTCCTTTGATAATTTGGCTGTTTTTATCATGCAGACCATTTATGATCTTGTTTGTTCTGAAATTTTGTGTGGGAGTTTTCAATCGCCAGCTCCATAGGAGCAATTGCACATATGAAACTGTTTTGGTGTTACTGAGTTGTAACTGATTGGGAGCCTGATAATTGATTTCGCTTCTTGTTTTTATTTAATTTTAATGTGAATTTGCCTTTGTTCTTTGTGATCAAATGCACAAGTCATCAAAAAGCCTTAACACTTTTAAACTAAGATTTGTACCCTCTAAATAAGAACGATATCGGAATTCACGGCCTTTAGGAACCAAGGATCGCCACACCAGCGCAAACATCAAACCAACAGGAAATGAAAAGACACAAACACAACAATAAACGAGTATCAACAGACATCATTACAATGTAGTTTCGGTAGACATCAAAGTTAGCGAATATGAACACAACAGAAAGTAAGCTAATATGAAGATTAAATGGTACACACCCACATATTTGCCTTTAAAGTTACATGTTTGTATATGAATATAAAAGTCAGATCGAAGGATTGAATGAAGAACACAGCGTATTGAGCAAAAAATCACATACTTTCTGACTATAGAAACCACCTGTATATACTTAGTACATTTCTATAGAAACCACTTGTATATATTTACTACCTGCTTATAGAAACCACCTGTATATAATCACTACCTGTCTACAGAAACCATATGTATGTACTTACTACCTGTCTATAGAAACCACCTGTATATAATCACTTCCTGTCTATAGAAACCACCAGTATATAATCACTTCCTGTCTGTAGAAACCACCTGTATATAATCACTACCTGTCTACAGAAACCATATGTATGTACTTATTACCTGTCTATAGAAATCACCTGTATATAATCACTACCTGTCTACAGAAACCATATGTATGTACTTATTACCTGTCTATAGAAATCACCTGTATATAATCACTACCTGTCTACAGAAACCATATGTATGTACTTATTACCTGTCTATAGAAACAACCTGTATATAATCACTACCTGTCTTACAGAAATCATCTGTATGTACTTACTACCTGTCTATAGAAACCACCTGTATATAGGTATTACCTAACTATGGAAACCACCTGTATACTTCCTGTATATAGTTACCGTCTGTAAATAATTTCTACCTGTCTATAGTTACCGCATGTCTATAGTAACCACCTGCAGGTATACTTACTACCTATCTGTAGTTACCGCCTATCAATATGTACCACCTGTCTATAACAACCACCTGTCTATAACAACCACCTGTCCATCGTAACAACCTGTATATACTTACCACTCGTCTAAAGTAACTAACTGTCTATAGTAACCACTTGTCTATAGTAACTATTTGTATATACTTACCACTTGTCTATAGTTACCACCTGTCTATAACAATCACGTGACTCTAACAACCACCTGTCTATAGTAACCACTTGTCTGAAGTAACCATCTGTCTATAATAACCACCTGTCTATAGTAACCACCTTTCTATAGCAACTACCTGTCTAAAACAACCACCTGTCTATAGTAACCACCTATCTATAATAACTACCTGTCTATAACAACCACCTGTGTATAGCAACTACATGTATATACTTACGATATATCTTGATGCCATATAAGTTACAATATTGTTCGTTACTGGCACTGTTTGTTTATCATATCATGCCAGGTTGTTTTGACAGACAAATCCTATATATCATGTAGCTGTATGTTGTGTTGGTGAATTTATCATGTTAATGCCGACGTAGCGTTTGTAAAATTTAAATATTTTAAGAGATTTTCTACATTGGGATGTTGGTAACAGCGAGTGAGCGTGCAGATATCGATGTACGCACAAAGTCGGTACGCCGCAACATCATCCAACATCTTCTCGTCAAGATATTTCCGTTTTTAGAAAACTGCAAAATAGGAAATTTGAAAAATATTACAAAGAGAATATTTTGGGTTCAGCAAATGAATTACACGCGGAAACTCAGTCTCAAAAGAAAATCGATCCGAGACCCTTGAAAAATTGAAGGGAAAAAATGAAAAAAAAAATGAAAGTCTGTTTCATTTCAATCTTTTACCGTAGAAGTGACAAGATCTGTGGCAAGCCTAGTAATCTGTTGTGTACGTGATGAAGGAGCGGTGATCTATGTTGACGATATTGCAAATCTCCGCTGATAAGGCTTCATGTGCTACACTGAATAATTACGCTGTGTAACTTTAATATAAATGATAAGTGGTATAAAATATTAAAAGATTATTTTGAACAATTTATTCAACAAACAAGCGGTTTTAGCTTCGTGAGGCCATCGTGAGCATCGTACGTTTGTTCATCCATTCAAAATATTTCCTTACAACACAGACATTGTCACGTGTCCTCGCTGATATATCACCATTGACTCGGAATGAGTTTCAGCGGTAAAACAGTTCATGTCGAGGGTCACAAATCATAAGTCACAAATCAGTAGTCTTCCCCGTACTGTGATCTAGGTCAAAGGTCACATATCATAAGCCAATCATACTTACCCCAACAAAGTAAGTTCTATACACTATTCGAAAGCCTTGAAATTACCGTGAAAAAAAAAATAACCAACAAAATAACATTTACTGTGATCCTGTCAGTAATTTGTGACAAAATTGTCAATCTATCTCGCAGGTCAAAGGTCATAGATTCATAAGTATCGCAGCTAGAGGTGAAGTGGAGATAATTTCCTCGCCAAACATCCGGGTCATGCGAAGATTGTTTCCACGACTGAACAGAGCAATCTATGTTTTAGCTCTTCGGAAATAATTTCCTCGGGTAGGAGAAAGCAGTTAATTTGTCTTTTCCCAGAAATCATAACACGTGTTTGAGATGTACGTGTATGTATGTGTATATATATATATTATATATATATAACAGAATGGTTGTGCAGAATGCACTTTTTCATAATTATATTTATAATATTACTTATCTGTCTTCCGGATGTCTGATTGAAGACCCTAGTTATAGGTACCATCCGGGTCAAAATTTCCAAAAACAAAATCACATTTGTGTAACCAAAACAAAACTACCGTTGTAACAAAGTCATCGCGCTTCAGAGAATGTCGGGGAAAACCAACTTCCGGGACAAGATATTAATTCTATAAAGCCTCACACAGCCAATCGATATAAGCATAACAATTGTAGTTAATATGGTGGGTAAACAAACAAACTGGACACACAAAGAACGTGTAATCTACCCCGACAAAACAATCAAGGTTATGATCAAATGATACTTTTTAAATTAAAAAAAAAAACACATTCCGACCATAGTTCAAATGAAAACATTTTTCTCGAAAAAGAAAATCTAGGTCAAAGGTCAAATTGATATATTTTCCGCGGCAAAGCAATTCAGGTCATAGAACAAAAGGAACTATTTTCTCATAAAAGGTTAGCAGGGACATTTTCTCGACGTTATCATGCAGGTCAAGGGTCACATGGAAATGATTTTGTCAATTGAATTAACCACTTCATTTATCAAAATCCATGATTTTAAGAAATATCTCTTTAATGAAATTTCCAAGGTCAAAGGGCTGAAGTCTTCCAGTAAATTTCTCCAACAAATCGCCTTCTCTGATTTCCACAATTAAGAATTGGTGTTATCGTTGGGAGGTTTTTTTGTGACACATATGCACCTGCAATTCTATGCAATTACTCGGAGTTATTTATCTAGTTACTCATTATCACGGTGTTTAAGTAATTACAACTAAAGCTGAGCTTCCTTAACAAAATTTGTAGGTATACAAAA